ATACACTGAACCAGCTAAAACAGCATCTGAAAGACTTTAACCTGCATACCTATGCTGACAAAATATCATGCCCTTGTCAAAATTGCTGTGCTGTCCAATATTTTAGGTGCGGAGCAGGAAAACTCTCCAAAGAGCCATATTCATTTGACATAGCTTATGGGTGTCTTCTTCCTTGGATTTCTCTCCCTCATTTGCATTATATTCCCGGCAAATTTCTCAGGATAGGAATTCCCATCAAACTATAGGTACCTGTAGACTTAGGTGGCCAGCTGGAACTAATCCTACTGAGATATCTGGTATACTTACACACCATCAGCAAACACTTGTGCATAAGCTGTATGCCTAGTTAGCATGGGGGAGGGGTGTGATGTGTAACTCTTCCCCTCCTCTTCCATTCCTTGATTTCTTCTTTATACCCACACAGTTTTGCTGCTGTTAAAATGAAATTATAGGCTTCTAGGTGCTGTGACTGTCTTTTATTATGTATATATAGATTACCCAGCACTATGACTTCATTGAGGACTCTCTGGGCATGTCTACACATGCATTAATGCACTGTAGTTACTGCACATGAAGTTTAGTACCTGTAATAACAAATACTAACTCAATACATAATAACCGGTGCTAGTGTGCAGTACCACCAGCGTATGCCTTTTCAGTGATGCTAATGCACAGTAAACTAATTCTACTGTGCATTCGCACAATAGTACAGCTTTTGTCATGACACACTAATGCGCAGTAGAATTAGTCTACTGCACATTTCGTGTCTCATGTAGATGCACCCTCTAAGAATTACTCTTATTTAAGTAAACAGCAATTCAAAACAAACAAAAAAAAAGCCTGCCAATTTTTATATGCCTCACCTGCACCTTAGAAAGAGCAGCATAGTAAGGTTGTCCCTATTGTCTGTGTAATTATACGGCCCTGGGAGTTTGGTTTCCAAGTGTCCTCTCTTCCCTGGTAATTTCCATCTCTGCATGACAGACAGTGGTTTGCCAAGCCCCATCCACTAGGTACTGTAGATCAGGTCACAGCTTGCAGACAACACATTTCCCTTCTGCAAATATTTTTGTAGAAGCTAATCAGCATGTCTGCTTGCCCTCTAACCCAGGCGAAAAGGTTTAATTGAGTGCTACTGCTTATGCAACGTAGACGAAGATATTAACAAGCAGTGGTAGGTAATGGCTGCGATCAAATCCAAGAGAAAGCGCGACGCAGCTGCCCCAGTGATTCCAGAAGGGGCCAGGATACAGTAAAGCCAGCTGCCTTCCGGCTGGGTTTAATTGCTGAAGCTGGTATCTCAGGTCCCTCCAAATTCTCTTCTGCTCTGCCATTCACTGAAGGCCTTTTACGTATTGCACTTGGAGCTGCTCAAATGTTGTTCAGTGTTAGTGCTAGCTCGAGTTTGGAGCAGTCACACTTTAAGGCTAAAAACCTTCCCTGACTGTCCCTCACCTGCGCAGTTGTGACTTGCCAATAGAGAGGGCTGGTGAGCAGGGGCCGGACTAGGAGCTACAACTGTGAGCTGCCACGACAGGGTGAATCAGGGCAGGCTTCTTCACTGCTCTGAGTGCGGGTGCATGAAAAATGGGTTGGGGGTATGGTGGGAACATGATGCTAGGAGGTGGAGAGTTAGTGGGATGAAGGCAGGTAATGAACTGGGAGGGGGAAAGGAAATGGTGTGGGGGGGGAAATGTCTTGTGTTCTAATAAATTGGGATGTGGGGGTCCTGATCATGCTTCTGGGGGTGCCTTGGAGGTAGGAGTGGTGAGGAAAGGTGCTTTTGAGGTAGCTACTGACCCTGTCCCAGGAAGGAAACCCCAGCTCATGGGGACCCAATCCAGCCTCCTGCCTTGTTTCCCTCATGCCCACCCCTGTTAGATCCCACTTCTGGATTTGTCTGTGCCCAGTGACCTGGCTAGCTGGCATATGCTCTGCAGGCTGTTTGCATGGAGTTGCAGCCCCAGGTTTGGGAGTAGGAGTTGGCTTGGTGCCAGAACTGCTCCCTTGGCAGTAGAGTTCAGGAGGTGGAAAAGTTGTCCACACAGAGCAGGAGGGTGGTGGAGGGGACACAGCATCCTGGGATGCTGGAGGACTGCAACTTGGGTGGCTTATCTGTGGGGAGTGGCCACACAGTAATCTGGGTAACATGGACCAGAGATAAACCTGCCCTAGAGTGGCATAACTTTAAGTCGCCTAAAGTGTGCTTAAAACTAGTTTCAGGGTGTTAATGTGTGGACCATCCAGGGGTTAAGAGCTCCAGGAACTGCCTAAAATTAGTGTAATGGGGCTGTAATTGGGACGTTTTGTAGAGTTTTATGGTATAATGGTATTGCTACCTAGTGGAGATGCAGTTTGTAGTCAGCAGAGTATTTGGATACTCCAGTAGTTTCCAAAGTGACTCCTCCCCACCCTCCCCCTGGCGAGTATAGCTGCATCTATCTTTTGCTGGCCCAGCTGCATGTATTAGGGGTGCATTACTCCTCTCTCACCCCTGCAGCCAGTGCTGGAAGTGGGGGATCGTACACTAGCACTGCCATCCCCAGCCCTGCCTGGTCCTCTGCATAGCTAGTCACTGGGCGAAACAAGGTGGACGGGGTGGGAGCAGGGACCCGGCACTGTGTGCAGTCTCTCCCCACAGCCTCTGTCTGGAGGGGGCAGGGGCATTGCTGGGGTTTCATGCTGGGAACAGCAATAGGCAGGTCCCCCTTCTTTACCTGTTCCTTAGTTGGTCCCTCTGGATGTCCCACTCCAGCCGTGCCTGGACACTTCAGGGGACCTAGGTGTCTGGGAGGAGTGGAGCTGCCAGATTGTGACCTTCACTTGCAAAGGGGGTGCAACTGCACCAGTGCCCCCACCCCATCTTGGATCTGTCCATGACTCTTATCTGTGCTGGCTCAACTTTTACGTATTCACCAGACCTGATTGCTTTGTGCTCTCATTCCTTCCTGCTGTTCATTCTCAGAGGTTAAAGCCTTTACTTTGCCGAAGCACACCTTGGAGCCAAGCTCCGTGATCCGCCCTTGTGTTTTTAATGAAGCACAAGCAGCTGCAGTGATCTATCGCTTGACTTGTCCAGGTGATTTACTCTGCTCTGCAGAGGCAGAAAGCAACTAGCCAGGGTTGATGAGGAGCTGATGAAAAGGGAAAACATGATAAGTCTCTGAGCTGTGACTTTATGGTGCTAGGTAGGATTCAGGAGTGGCTTCCTATTCAAATGTGTACTATTTGACTGGACTGGTCTTTTCCTCCATTATCCCCTTATAGCTTTTTGCTCCTTTTTCCAGTGACACGGATCAAGACCCTGTTATCTTAGGGGCCAATGTGGGGATGTTTCTGGGAGGAGGAATGGGAGTGGGAGGATTTGGGTGCATCTAGGCTGTCTGCTGCTTGTGTGGGTGATGTGAGGACTCACTCGCTCATCCACGCTAGTGTTGCTCCATCGGGGGAGGCAATTAGTGAGGAAAGAGGGATTTTATCCCGACTCTTCTGCAATGGAAACAAAGAGTGAGAAAGGGAAGAACTGCATTTTTACCTGTGTTGACAGCTTTATGTCAGGAAGCCACCGTTCCTTCACGTTATATGGGCCTCGCTGAGCAAATAATTGTGCTGAAAATCAGAGTAGCCCTTTGATGGGTTTTCTATCTTATTGGGGAACTATTCAAGCAGAGCAGATCTGATTCTGCCACTCTCTTCATTGGAAGCTCCAAATTGAGGGCTTGGTTAAAAGGGTCAGTTAGCAAAAAATGTGATTATAAAAGTACCTAATGACTTTCATATGCATATCTACTAGAGGTGCTTTCCAGGTCTCAGCTTTTTATTAACCTCTAAGTGCCAATAATCCTATCAGTTATGGCCAAGTGTGGTCATGTTTATGCCATTGAGTAGAACTGTACCCTCCAAAAATAGCTGCTAAAGGCAACGGGGCAACCCATGCAGTAAATAAGTAGCAATGTGAGTATGGATGGCACAAACTGCCCCTAGATTTATCTGCTTATGTGTAGTGAGCATGTGTGTGCTCACAGACAGTTATATCCAATAATATATGCTTGATTCTGGCATTTCATAAGTTTTAAGAGCCTGATTTGACAATGTAATGTTTTATTGCATGTAATTTCCTAGGCATTTTAAAAGTACACTGAAAAAAAAAGAAGAAAATCCTTTACAGGGAACCATATTGTAACCCAGTATGATTTAGCAGCAGTGTGAAAACCTTTAGATTTGCAGCAGAGATCTCTGCTAGTGGAGCTGCACCTGGTAGCAGTAGAGGGTTGTTATCTTCCATGTGAGCCAGCTGCTAAAGGGAGATGAGGCCCACATTTCGCTGATCCTGGGTTTTGAGCTCATGACCGACAGCAAAAGAATGGTGAGACTGAGGGGTTTAGGGATCTCTTCCAGTCTTTGAGGGGGGACCGTCTGGTGGTTACAGGGCACGAGCAGTTTAGGACCCCTGAGTTGAAGCATCCTCAGTGCAGATAGGATCTTTAGAGCATGGACTTGTCAAACTTTGATAAGTCTCCATAGCTCATATGCAAAATGAGGTGTATCAGAGGCCACCGCTTGACCAGCTGCAGGCAGATTTTCATAGAAATAGCAAAAGGCAAATCTTGGACACAAAGGAAGCCTCCTCTCTCCACCACTAAATTTGTAGTCCTCCCTTTGATGATGGGAAGCATTAGAGCTTCCTAAGAAGACAATTATACAACTGTAAGACTTTTTTCCCCCCACGGAACAAAACCACATATTTTCCCTTAATCTCATTCTTGGAAACAGCCAGAGCTTTTTTAGTGAGACTTTCCAAAAAATTCAGCCTAAAGGCATGTACCGGGCATGGAAAATTTGAGGTTGAATAGTTCAAATTTGGCAAGTAACAAGCAGCTGAAAGCAGTGTTTTGCAATGGCAAGCGTAGGGCAACTTTAGGTGAACCTAATGCCACCCGTCCAATGTGGAACAATGCCGTGTTTCATACTGAGGTTTGATGTCTGTACTTGTATTTTAGGGTGAAGAAGGGCCCAGGGGCTTTTCTGGATTGAAGGGTGAAAAAGGAGAAAAGGTAAGTGTTTGAAATGGCACATCAACCTCTATCGTTAAGCTATCCAAATCTCCTGGCTATACCTGTTAACACCGACGTCTCCGGCAGAAGGCAGAGTAGGGGTGCACTTGATAGACCACCTGAATTCACAGGAGAACAGGGCACTTGCTAGTCTTTGCCACTTCCTGCTCTGAAATAGGGTGAAGAGCAATCATATGCATGTGTCTAGGAAGGTTCAGCCTCCATTTAAGTTTAGAAGTGAACAGTTGTTCGGGAGGTTTTTTTTTTCTCTCGCCTTATTTGGTTTGCCCACACTGAAGAAGAAGCTAATATCATGGCTGGAAACTATTTTTTCTTTTTGATCCAAACATATGGTTCATCACCTAAGGAGGACTGGAAAGGGGTAAGGTCATTGGTAGTAGAGCAGTGATGAGAACAGCACTTTACTGGGCACCATAAAAGTCATACCAGCTGAAGCATGCAGATGCCATGTGGACATCGATACATTCATGGAAACATGCCTATCCATAATTGTGGGGTCCAGAAGAGGAAAACGATCTGCCACTTTTGGTCCCTGCTCATTGTGAGATGCGTGCACCCTGCAGTCTGCACCCTGGTGCTATCATACGGTCGTTGTGGAGATTCTTGCCTTGTGCATCCCCAAAATTTCAGTTGTCTCAACACAGACGCCTCAAGGGGATCCTAGTGAGTACCTGCATCATTATTTGTGTCTTCCTCCCCTGTTTCCTGGTATATCACATTTGCTTCTGCTTGTATTTTTAACTACCAGGAAGACCAGGTGACAAAACCGCTGGACAAAACGACTGCAGGTCACCTGGTCTTCCTGGTAGTTTAAACGTCTTGGTTTCACAGCATCTTCGGTGACTGAAAAGGCAAGGTGAGCTTGTCTTCTCTTCTGTCTAAAGGAAATTGCTTTGGGAACAAGATGTATTTTTTCTGCAAAAATGGCAGCCCCTTCTGAACATTATTATCCTGGATCCACCACTGGATTAGCTTCAAGTAACATTTTCCGAAAGTGCCTAAGTCAGTGATTCTTAATCAGGGCACCTAGCCCCCATGGGGTGGCTTGAGATCCTTTCAGTGCCACACAATGTTAGCACTGATAGGTTTGTGAACGTGATTCCCAAGATAAACCCGGAGATTTCAAATAGAAATCCATACCTGTGGTTTTTCTGCGTCCTTTGCAACAGAACAATTGCCCTATTCATTCAATTCAAATACCCACCATTTCAAGTTACGGTGCATAAAATGAAACCCTGGAGATTAAACCCCTGTCACGTGTACATGCACCCTGTTAGTCCTGCAGGACAAACATTGGCTCTCCTCTGCATTTCAACAGCACCATTTGAGTCATAATGATGCTATAGGCCCTTGGGTTCTAGCATCTTAAAATGCATGTTAAAGATGCACATTAACATGAAAATATGCAGGCTTCTCAGTTGCCTGGGAATATTTTTTATCCCCCTCACCCCTCCAACCTTTCTCCAATTGTATGGCGCTCACTTCCCTGCGGACATTTCAGGAAAGTTGTCTCATCTAAAGTTTCCGAGATGTCTTTGTTTGTCTTAGGCTCAGCTTATTGTGCGCTTGTCTGGCAGCAGTGCCTAGAGGCTCTTCGGCTTTGTGTTGGATGCTGTACAAGTATGTAGCAAAAATTGATCCTTGCTTCAAAGACCCCATTTAGGGAGGAGATGCAACAGGAGTACAATGGAGGGGTGACAGAGGGGTGGCCAGGGGCTGCCAGTATCAAGTTCACAAGGTTATATACACGGTGATCTCCCGAGAGTTTGCATTATTTTATTTTTAAATCAGCTAAGTGGACAGGAGCTCTTAGGCTCGTTAGCAGCCCATCTGCTTGGCTACAGTGCCTGCATGTCAGCACTGGGCTCTCTGGAGACAGTAAATAATAGATGTTTGGGTTTAAATGATTTTCCTCTTGCTTATTCTTGCCTTACTGCGGTACTCATGTCCTTGTGCTTTCGGCTAATGTTAATATTATGCTGCTGATGGTTCTGTTGTTCCAGGGGTCCCTGGGCTCATCTGGCCCCCTTGGGAGGGAAGGAGCAAAAGGAGAAACCGTAAGCTTTTTTGTTCCCTCTTTGTAATCCTTTCCTTTCAGCATCAGCTGGGCAATGGAAATCTATCTGTATTGAGTGGGACGTGTCTGGGGGAATTGCATGACCATTTGAGGAGCAACAGAAACAAATGACAGGAGGTTAATAACCTCAGTGCTCTCCCTAACACGCTTGCAAAGACTGTGGACTTCTTATGGATTAACCGTAGGGAA